CAGCGCCCGGTACCCGAAGCTTGCGGAGCACGGAAAGGTACAGCATCGACCGCGCCATCCACTCTCTGGTGTGCTGCTCCACCAGAGAGGCACGGAGGCGAGACGCACTGTTGCCCAAAGTGCGCTCCTTCATGAGCCCGATCACAGCTCTGTCGCAGGACAACCTGGGAGGGGAAAGAGGTGATCAGAGGTTACTGGAGAAAACCACAGAAATACATTACTGTTGCTGTTACTGTTTACATTACTTACTTGTACGTGAGAACTGCTGGAAACTGCTCACGATGGGCCATGTCCAGCTGTCCCAAGATGTCCTGCGACCATCCCGGCATCTTCTTGTGACAGGAGCTGCATTCCAGGTACTCCGTGCCCATGAAGTACCAGCAGCTCCTGTCCAAGACCCTCCTCACCGTCTTGTAGAGGCCAGCTCCCGCAAGCTTGCCCCCACAGGCGACGATGGGGCAGCGGAGGTGGTACGCCCACATCCTGTAGGGCACCCACAGGAAAAAGGGACTCTGGAAAAAGGGGTGGGCTGTGGCGGGTGGCTGGGTGTAGAGGGGCCGGGCACCTTGGTGGGTGCCACCACAGGCGGAGTTCAGATGTGAGGACACCCTGCCCGTTGGGTGCCCTCCTGAACAGTGCCCGGCCCACCCAGTCGTGCTGCTCTTCGGGGAGCGTCAGCCTCCAGCCACGTGGTAGCAGCTGAAACACACAGCAGTGTCAGACCGTTAGTGTACTGAACACAGACACACACACACTACAACACAATATGTCATCACTGAGCATACCTGTGCGCCGGGGCCTGACCTCTCCCCACAGGTGTTGTCCTGAAGGGGACGTTCCGGTGGCTGGGAGAGAGAGAAGGGGGGCACGGCTGATGGGGCATCCCTGCACGGGTCGACCTCCATGGCGGCAGCGAGCAGGTCAGCATCCGAGGGTCCATCCTGGGGACCAACAGCGTCCAGGGGTGGTTGTGGTGGTTGTGCTGCCAGGGCTGCCTTCTCTGCATCCCGGGCCTGCACATATTTTTTTAAGTCCACCAACCTGGACGCTTTGGCTGTGGGTGCCGCCTGCCTCACAAACTGTACATAGCTAAAAAAGAGAACAGAAATGCAATGGGTAAAAAAGTCACGCACACACACAGACATACACACACAGACACAGATACACACACAGACACACACAGACACAGACACACAGATACACACACAGACACACACAGACACACACACACACACACACACACACACACACACACACACACACACACACACACACACACACACACACACACACACAAACAAACAAACAACTTACCTTGCCCGCTCACGGTCCGTCGACTCGTACAGGGTCTTGTAGGTCAGGTCACTATGAACACCGAACCCCACCAGCGTGTCGTCCACGCCCCTCATGGTCTGGGGACTGCCCTCGAGCATCCTACGCCTGTCGATGGCTGCCACCATCGGCGGGAACAGCCTGGCGTAGGAGACGAGGGCGTCTTTGTGCACCATGAGGGCATTCTGCTGACTAGTGCCCCCTTTGTCTCTCTCTCCCTCGTGGGACACACAGATGGTGACTGCGTATCCCACGTCATTCTCCAGCAGCCACCGGAACGTCTGACCACGGTACTGGCCGAGCTGCAGCTCGCTCTCGGCCAGCACCTGATGGTGATCGGTGGGGTTACCTCCCTTCTGCACCACCCTGTCTCTTGCCTCAGAGCGCACCAGCTCAGGGGTCTTAACCACCACCAGGGCAGTGGCAGAGGCAGAGGCCCCCCTCTGGCGGCGGCTCAAGGCCAGCGCCTCCTGAGAGGCCCGCAGGGTCAGGTCAAGGTTTGCCTCAAAGCGGAAAATAGGCTGCATTTTCTAGAAAGACAAGAAATAAGATTTAAGTCAGTAATCTGCTACACATGCACTGTTTACATCCTACTGACAGTCTATTACTGTACTCAATGATACTGTGCCCATTCATTAACATACATTCAACATCAGGCGTCCTGTTTACACATTTAAACCATATTTACACTTTGAATTTTGACTTCAAACTGTAGTAACTACATCTACAGGGTCTAAGGAAGATAATCAGGTAGTCTGTTTAAAGATTAAATACATTGTGAGAGATCGCCAGCCCTCAGAAAAGTAGTAACTAAAATGACCTCATTCACCTCCTTGTTTTTAGCTAGCAAAATCACGGCTGGTCTGTTTACACATTTAAACCATATTTACACTTCAAATTTTGACTCCACCTCGTTGTACCAGCATACCAAGGGTCTTAAGAAGTGAGCCAAGTTGTCTCATCACGTTTTTAAAGCGTTTCCAGAGATCGTCAGCTCATCACAGCAGTGGCTAAATGCTCATTCATTCCCAACGCTTAGCATGCTAATAGCGATTTATATGCTAACGCATCTAAAGCACAGTTAAACTTTAAATATCAACTCCACACAATAGCAGTACAATATCCTAGGTCTCAACAAGTAAACCCAGTATGGGAATATTATTTTAAACACATTTCACCGATCGGTAATGACATCGGCGGCAGTCCTAACTTACGCTAACGTTACATTGGCTCGCTGTTTCACTGCTAACTGATTACTGTATAATATATAAGCTGCCTTTTCAATGTAGCACATAATTTTACAAACAATAAAGTTTGTCTAACCTTATAATATTGTGTGAATGTCCGTCCGTCCGCTCACTCAAACGCCGCTCAGTCCGAATGAATGAATGACACTGACCGTGGCTGTGGCTTTGGGGGTGGGCGGGACATGCGGCGAGCTGTCGAATCACAGCACAGCACCCAAATGGAACAGACCAATGGGGTTGACCTGGCCTTCACCCATTGGCCTGTTCCATTTGAGCATGAGCCAATGATAGCCTCTGAAATCGGTAGGTGGGGACATTTATGTGGAACACAGGTACAGAGACGAAGGCTGTCCCAGAGCAGAGGCGCTCCCCCAGCGTTCTTCTCTGTTTTGGTCGGCACCCGCGCATGCGCACTAGAGCGCAAAAGACGCGCGGTCGACGTGCGGAACGGCACTCCCGCTCGCCGGTTCGAATCCCGACGGAGGCAAACTGCGAAACGCGTGCATAGCGTCGAAATGTCTTCTCTAAATATAAAAAAATGATTAAAACATGCTTGGAACCGTTGTATAGAGTCTATAAATGATAATGAATTTGCATATTTCCAAGGCCAGGCAATGCAATAATAAATGGATTTTTCATTTACAGTACGGTTTATCTCCTGTGTCTTCATTTTATTGAGAATATGTATCATCAGTGTTTATTGAGAATATGTATCATCAGTGTTTATTGCTTTAAATTTGATATAGGACAAGAGAACAATGATACCAGTATAAAATGATGACAATTTATTTGAAATATGAAGTCAGATGTCCAGGATACAGGACAGTGCAGCATATCAGTGTGGAAAGGGCTTTACAAATAAAATACAATTCTCAGTAAAAAAGGGTAAATAAATTATTTATGTATAAATTAAAGTTACATGCTGTGTATGATTTGTTTCCCCTTTTTCTTCAGTGAAATAAATATCAATTAAATATATTGTTGTTGTGTTCTGCATCTTCACAACAACAACATCAAACACAGCAGAAGTACAGAGCAAAATAGATTATTTAAACTACAATCCCAATAATAATAATAATAATAATAATAATAATAATAAATGGTGATGCAGAACAGAGCAGTGGCACAAGGCAATCACAGCAGGCAGACACATAGTATAAGAGCTCAGCACAGATATGCATGGATACATAACACAGGGGCATTACAGTGTGAAGTACCTGTACATACAAGGCTTTTTATTTTTTTGGCAGCAACAGAGCCAGTGGCAACAGCAGATGAACCAGCACAAATGGCATGTCCGATATCTTGCGTCGCAGCTACTGGATGTAACTGATGTAACAGTGATCACATTAATGAACATACCCACATGTCCAAAATATAAAAAATAAAAAAACTTGTCAGTGCATAGAATCAGAACAGCACAGAGGCATGACAGCGTGTTATACAGGTGTGAATGGGACACACATTTTTTTTCCAAGCAGAGTGTCACTGTGCTGTAGAAGAGTTGTGGCAGGGTGGGTGGACCGGTGTTGGTAGAAAGCCTCCACACTGCGGCAAAGTCCCGGTCCTTGTGGAGGGGAAAGTCAATGTCTTTTAAAAAAAAAACACACACACAACACTGCAAACAACTATATACACCTGCCCCAGCAAGAGTGCGAAATCAGTCCGGGGCTCGACCCTGGTCCCTCTCCTTCATCTCCCTCAGCCAGTCCTCCACACTCTTACCCGCCGCAGCAGAGCAAAAATGTTCACTGCCGTAACGGGTGTGTCCGGTCTCCCTCCGCTTTGGCTGGCCGCACTTCCTGCACTTCTGTACTTGTGGCACGCCGGCCCGGGCAGAGACACCTGTTCCTGGCGGTGCCGCTGCCCTCTGCTCGGCCTTCTTCCTCCTCAGCCATTCAGTTTTGTACGTAGAGAGAGGCTGAGGAGGAGGAGCAGGAGGTGCTGCCTGCACTGCTTGTTGTCCTTGCTGTCCTGGCAGCAGCTGCAGTGCAGGCAGCTGAGGGCCGGCGTGACGTGCGGCGGCCAGCGGCAAAGGGAGGACGTGTGGGGCTGGCGTTGTCCGAGGGAGCGTTGGGATGGGGAGCACCCTCACACTCTGCTGGGGCAGTGAGAGGTCCAGGAGGAGAGGCTGTGTAGCTGCAAAAGGTCCCGTTGCAGCTGCTGCAGCAGCTGTTGGTGGTACGGCCAGGACAGCAGCTGAGGGGGCAGGCGGTAAAGGCGCCAGTAGCCGTCTGCACACAGACACCGGTGCTGCCACAGCCGGTGCTGCTGCCAGAGTTACCGCCGCCCTTGCCGCTGCTGTCGTCGCCTGGCCTGCAGGCACCACCGTTGCTGCTGCTGCCGGAGGACGATCCACCGCCGGTGCTCCTTGGCCCGGCGCTGCCGCTGTTGCTGTCGCTGGCGCCACCGCTGCAGCCGCCGAGCCCGCTACCGCTGGTGGTCGTCCCTCTGCTGCAACGCCTGGAGCTAGCACAGCCATCTCCTTCTCCCGCTGCGTCCTGGTGAACCTGAGAACGGATTTCAACATAGTATTTTAGTTACATGTACAATTTTGAGAGCATGTAATTCAAGCATGTCATTACCATAACATATAACACTGTCCAAAGCATCAAACATACCACAGCGAGAGGGTCCTGCTATTCAGCTCATAGAGCTGGATGGGCACCCGAGCCATCAGCCTCTGGTGGCCCAGCACAAGGTCCCGGATGTGCTGGTACCGAAGCAGTTATGCTGTCCCACCGCGACCGCCGGGCACCGCTCACACGGGTGCCTGAGGGGCACACGCGGCAGAGCTGGATGCACACTGCCTCTACCAGCCGGCTTGCACTGGGACTGCTGGCAGGTCCAGAGGTCTGTCCGACCAGGCAGCTGCGGACAACGGACAAAAACAATGATGGATATGAGCATGCTGTGAACATTACAATAGCTCGTGTGTACGTCAGGGAAACGTGTGATGGAAGTGTAGCCTTACCGTCTCATGTTCTCCACACCAGGTATACTGGTGCGGCTAGGCTTCGCTGCCTTGAAGCGCCCCCGAGCTGGCCTGTCCCTGTAGCGGGGAGGGTAAACTACTCGGTCCCTGTCGAATTTTGACAGGGCCTCGTAGAGCCTGATTAGCTCATCTACCCTCCCCTCGGACAAGGCCGGTTCGAAACGCAACCCCACCAAGGCCGTGGCCAACTGGACCACGGCCAGGTACCCCGGCTGGTCATCTGGTCCTCTGTAGTCCTGCAGACACACAAGCAGAGACAGAAAACAATCAGTCAGATGAATGGGAGGAAAAGAGCGCAGTGTGGTGATGTGAGATGCAGAGGTGGCGTGCCTACCTCAGCAGCCTGCTGAGGCTCTGACGAGGACCGGCCGGGGGAGTGGGGTGCGGGCTCGGGGGCAGTGGTCGGACGGGATGGCTCGGGCGCGGGTGCGTCAGCCGGTTGCCCTGACCGCGGGTCCAACTGAGGAGCTGGGACGCCAGGCACGTGGAGGGTGAGGTCATCCACCTCCTCGTGGGCGACGTCAGATTCTTCCTCAGTGGGTGGGGTAAGAGGAACGTCCCCCCCCGCGTCCGGAGTGTCAGGGTCCAAGCTGACGTCCTGCAGCACTCTGCCCGTCTGGGAGTACAGGTACTCAATCCCGATGAGCTCCCCTGAAGTACAACAACACAAATCACGTCACTCAGTCTGGTACAAATATGACTCAGTGTGGACACGCGTAAGCGTGGTGGCTTGAGTGTCCTTACCGGTGTACTCCCTGGGCTTGGTGTAATCCTTGACCACACTCGTGCCAAGCACCCTTTGGCTGAGCTGGTCAAGGGAGTGCTGCAGGGGGCCACTGTAGGAGCGGAGCAGCGGACGTCCCTCCTGTGCCGCGGACGCCGCCCTGTCCTCGTTCCACCGCGTCAACCCCTCCAGGAGAAATGCCTGAAAGTGCCATGGATTGGCACTTTCTCCTGAGGAGGGTCACAGATGTGTTTAGCAGTTTATTCAGTGCACACAATGTGAATGACAATGAGTCAACGACAGTGAAAGATTGACATAGCAGTGAAACATGTGGGTTTACCTGGGATAAAGCGGTTGAGATGCAGGTGGAACGACTCCAGGGACGTGGAGCCTCGTGCACAACGGTACACCGGCAGGCTGATCCCCCCCTTGGTCAGCCTGCTCGTCTCGGTGTACAGCTCCACGTCGGGCGGGTCCTGGATGCACTGGAGGTGACGCCGCTGCTCCGTCCAGATTGCCTGGATGCGGTCCTGGTCCAGCAGGGGAATCCCCATGGTGTCCCGTCCGTTGGCACCGCCGAAGGTTTCCAGGAGGTCACCGATCAGCCGCTCCGTCTCCGCCGCTCCACGCGTGCGGCGACGGCAATGGATAGCCATATCCCTGCGGCTGACGTGCCTCCATACTCCGGCGTCGGACGAGAAGGTCATCCCCTGCGCCTCAAGCATCCTCTTCTTGGCGTCGAGCAACCGGGCTGCGTCCTCTGGGTCCCACAGGAAGATGCACAAGGACAGCTGCTGCAGGAAGGGCTTATACAGCTGGTGGCTCTCGGTGGTGACACCCGACGCAAAGCGGCGCATCAGGTGCCAGATGTCGAGCCGGACCACCAGCTTGTCCCACTCCTTGAACACCTCAGGTGCCTTGGATGTCCCGTGGGACGAACAACAGTCCCGGTCGACGTAGAGGAGCTGAGGGCGGCTCCACCCCAGCGTCCCGGTACCGCCGCATTAACCCCGCAGCCATGGACAACAGACCGGCCCCCTCGGCGTCCGTGAGCACGGACAAAAGCACCTGTCCGTGCTCGTTGCTGACGTTGGTTGCCCACGCTGCGGTCTGGGCGGCAGCACCGGCGAGCTTCCGGGTCACCTGTTTGAGAGAATAACGCACATCAGTAAGGCTGCACGCACATAGCCAGAGCATGATACTCAGCTTGTGCTATAGTACCACATTTACCTTCTTGGTTGAATCCATCTTCAGGATGCTTCCAAAGATGGAGGTGACCCGGGCCTTCACGTCCTCCAGGCGGGAGAGGATGTCGTGGCAGTACACCAGTAACAGCCACCCGTACTGGGGCACGGGTGGCAGATTTGGTGGTGGGGTGCACCTGCGCACGACACCTAGCGACGCGAAGGGCTCCATGACGCTGAGGTAGTGTATGGACCGCCGCATCCAGGCCTCTGTGTGTGCCTCACAGAGTTTGTTGTACAGCTGCGTGGGGCTGTTCCCCCGAGTACGCTCACGCAGCTGTATGATGACCCGCCGGTCGCAGGCAAGCCTACAGAGGAGCACATTATGTGTTACAGAAGAGCCACACACAGAGACGCTGCGTGACAGTGTTCAGACAGCAACTTACTTGTAGGTGAGGATCGCTGGGAACAGGGCGCGATGCCCCTCTCCCAGCTGACCCACGACCTCCTGCGACCAGGCAGCTACCTTCTTCTTACACCGACAGCACTCCAGGTACTCGGTGGCCATCAAGTACCAGCCGTCGATGTCCAGGACCCTCCGGATGGTCCTGTAGAGCCCACACTTGGTGAGGGCCTTGTTGCAGCATGTCGGCCGGACGCCCCACAGACGCAGGGGCGTCCAGAGGAACAGCCGACATGCGAAGAAGGCAGCTGGTGAGGCGGGTGGCTGAGTATAACTCAGCTTGAGGTCCGTGGTGAGTTTAGTCCTCCCCTTGCTGTCTGGCTGGAACAGCTCCCGGCCGATCCACTCCTGCTCTTCCACGGTGAGAGCTGTCCGCCAGCTCTCAGGCAACCGGGCCTGTGAGGAAAAAAACAACACAAACAAACAAACACACTGTAAGGAGGCTGAGTCGGTGCTACATGCAGTTTGACAGTCGACTCCACTGAGTTGTGCGTCCATGAGTACAGGTGGGTGTGTGTGTGTGTGTGTGTGTGTGTGTGTGTGTGTGTGTGTGTTTGTACCTCAGCCGAAGCAGGAGTGGGAGCTGCGGGCTGCTCCACATTCCTCTCCTTCCTCTTCCATCTCCACCTCCTCCGACGGTGCCGGAGGAGGTGGAGATGGAGGCGTCACCACCAGCGGGAGCGGGAGAGTCTGAAGGACCTGTACGTCAGCTTCAGACACAGTCACACACAACAAAATAGATTCAGCACAATGATAGTCATGGGACAAGACTAAGTGAGTCTGAGTGTTGATGACATGCAGTATGCCAGTGATTAGGGCAGAAGGTTTAGTGCTACAAGATGCAGCAGAGCCAAGGGAAGTAGACATGTGAAGGCGTTTAATCAAATCTACATTACCGCCACATGAGTGAGGATGGCACTACCACCTACGAAGATGGCTATATTACCTGCCAAACCTACCTTTGTCCTTCAAGCATCAGCTGTAGCGACCAGTAAATGAAACAATTACAGTTAATACAAACACACTGACAGAAGAATATATATTGATGGCAAATGTGACACGTCCAGTTTGGTGCCAGTTACCTGTTTCTATGTCAGTGGCCATCTGGACCAGTTCCTCGTCCGTCACCTCTGTGGCGTGGGGCGGCGGCGGAACCGAGGGGCGCTGGTCTCTGAAGGATGTAGACACCGCTATGGGGGGGTTGGGCAATGGTTAGTAAATCATGTACAGTGAACTGTACTCTGTTGTGTTAAAGAGAAAGAAAGAGATCTACCTCGAACTGCAGGCTGTGCAGGTGTGGTCATCAGCTTCCTGACCTTGGCCTGCAGCTCACCTGGGCCCATGGGACGCCGGCGGCGATCTTGGAGGCGATCGGCTTGTGTGGCTACAGCGCGGTGGAAGCAGCGGCCTTGCTGGGGCCACTGCTGGTGGTGGTGGGGGCGCTGCTGCTGATGCTGCGGCTGCTGGTGGGTGGAGGGGGGGTAGCAGCCGCAGCTGCCGCCTCTGCCGACCGCTTCGCGTCTCGGCCCAGGATGTACTTCCTGGCGGCGTCCATTGCAGTCCCAGGGTGCGGTGTCTTCCCTCGAAGCCACTTGACAAATCTACAACATGGACGGCATCACATTAGTGAACAATAATGACATACAGCAATTCACAATCCATTGTGTGTAGCACCAATCACTCACCCTTGGCGGTCCTTATCAGAGGACTCGTACAGGTCCTTCAGGGTGTCCTCTTTAAACTTCCCAAAGCCAACAAGGGCCTCGCCCTCACACCCGGGCTGACTGGCACGAGCCCGGGCCTCCTCGTGCGCCCGGTGGAATCTTATGTGTTCAGCGAACTCCGGGTGGGCGCACGAGTACTGGGCGAGAGCGTCCTTGTTGGCCATAAGGGGGCTGTCGGAGGCACTCTTCTCCCGCTCCCGCTGGTGGCTGGCGACCAACTGTACCGTGTAGCCCACGTCGTTCTCCAGGAGCCAACGGAACGTTTGACCCTGGTACTTCCCAAACTGGATGCTGTGGCAGCTCAGCACCAGCATGTGGTTCCCAGGGTCACCGCCCGTGGAGACGACGTGGGCTTGTGCCTCCTTCTCCACCTCCTCCGGCTTCTTGGCCCTCGCAGCAGCGGCGGCCCCGCGTGGCCCCTTGGCGGCGATGTAGGCCACCGCCTCACCAGAGGCCCGCAGGAGAAGCTGCTGCGAGGCTGTGAATTGCAGTTTTGCAAAAACCATTTCTACAATGACAAGAAATGACACAGCACAGCATTAAAGGAGCATTACAGGTTAAACTACATATTAACTGCTATATTACCAGGAATATCACACATAAGATTAATGATATACTGGTACTTCACATTCACTATTGAAACATTACCGTTAACAAACTAACATCACGTGACACAACAGGTAAATAATGAGCCCAGGGTTAGCCCCCTATGCATTGGCAGCCATTAAACAAACAGGCTTATTGTTAATGTATAAAACATACACTTAAACTTTATCTTTTGATTTCACCTGGTGATATTATAACCTTAAGGCTCTAAGGACATTAACTGTATAGTCTTTTCATACTTTAATTTTGTTTTCAGAGATCGTCACATGTTGTAATTATACTGTAGCATCCTAGCTACAGCTACGTTACATTACATTACATAATGGCGATCTCTCAAAATGTATTTAATCTTTAAACAGATTATGTGCTACAGCGAAAAGGCAGCTTATATATTATACAGTAATCAGTTAGCAGTGAAACAGCGAGCCAATGTAACGTTAGCGTAAGTTAGCACTGCCGCCGATGTCATTACCGATCGGTGAAATGTGTTTAAAATAGTATTCCCATACTGTGTTTACTTGTTGAGACCTAGGATGTTGTACTGCTATTGTGTGGAGTTGATATTTAAAGTTTAACTGTGCTTTAGATGCGTTAGCATATAAATCGCTATTAGCATGCTAAGCGTTGGAAATGAATGAGCATTTAGCCACTGCTGTGATGAGCTGACGATCTCTGGAAACGCTTTAAAAACGTGATGAGACAACTTGGCTCACTTCTTAAGACCCTTGGGATGCTGGTACAACGATGTGGAGTCAAAATTTGAAGTGTAAATATGGTTTAAATGTGTAAACAGACCAGCCGCGATTTTGCTAACTAAAAACAAGGAGGTGAATGGGGTCATTTTAGTTACTACTTTTCTGAGGGCTGGCGATCTCTCACAATGTATTTAATCTATAAACAGACTACCTGATTATCTTCCTTAGACCCTGTAGATGTAGTTACTACAGTTTGGAGTCGAAATTCGAAGTATAAATATGGTTTAAATGTGTAAACAGGACGCCTGACGTCCACGTTCAATATTAGCATAAGCTAACCAGAGAGTGCCGGCAGAACGTAATAAAACATTAACTCCATTCAGTACATCGTAACAGTACAGTGGGGTCGCTGTGTTATATCAGTACATTAATATTCTATTTATTTTGGTTTTACTCACTCTCTCAGATCTCACTGCTCTCTCAAATACACACGGGGATTTCTGTCCGTCGCATACGGCAGCCGGTGAGGTTAAGAGGTGGGCGTTAACGTCTAACGCTCGACTAACGCTCGACAATCCGAGCTGCTGATTGGCCCAGAGCTGACAACGCTCGACTAGCGCTCGACAGCACTGGCTGCTCATTGGCCCAGAGCTGACAACGTTCGACTAACGCTCGACAGCACTGGCTGCTGCTCATTGGCTGGCATACAGAGACCATTGCTGGTCATATTGCGCGAAGAAGCAAGGGAGCCGTGCGGAGCGCCGAGGGCGGCGCGCGCAGCCGGCCCCCCGGCCCCCGGTCGGCCGCATTTCCCCGGGCTCGTGTGATAAAAAGCAGCCCCAAAGAGCCTCTCCTTCTATTTCTCCCGATTATAACGCCAAAGAATTGGAACGATCCCCCCTTTCCCCCCCTTCTCTCGACATGTGTCAGTCAAAAGCTGTTGTCCTACGTCATCCCGAGCACATGGCTACTTATCATACGGCGGCGACACGGAGAATTAAAGGCCCCGCACGCATTTAAAGCGACGAGACCTGTTTGGTTAAATGTACATTAATATTTGAATGGTTTTGGCCTCATGAATGGCTCCAGGTTTGTTTGGTTAAATGTACATTAATATTTGAATGGTTTTGGCCTCATGAATGGCTCCAGGTTTAAAAAGTTAAGTTAAAAAATATTTAAATAGAGAAGACAAGGATTTAATCAATTAAATGTTTATTAGAAAGGTTAAAAATGTATAACATAAGCAGGGAAATTGCAGTGTAGAAGCAGCATTACACACAGTAACAACAACACACACACACACACACACACACACACACACACACACACACACACACACACAATCAAAAAAAGCAATATAGAATGCAATATAAAAAATGTATAAATAACCAGTATAATGCAGTCCAAAGTAAAAATAAAAAATATAAGGTGCAATGAACAGATGAAACATATAAGGTGCTTGGATGATACAGTACAGTTGGATAATTTTAATGTTTTTTTGACCTCTTCTCAGCCAGCCACAGCTCCACAGTCTTCCCTTCATAAAGAGCACAGAAGTGCTCTCCCCCATATTGGCTGTGGCCAAAGTCTTTCTGCTGTGGCTGGCCACAGAGCTGGCAGATCCTCAGTTTGTGGGGCTTCCTCACTTTCCCCCCCGGTTTCTCTGGTTTCTCATACCTTCATTTGAGGTTCCAGGCTGTTGTTCTGGGGAGCTTCTGCAGCTCACCAGGGCCAAGCTGTTCCCTGGTCCACTCTTGCACTGTGCGTCCTCCAGGGCCCTCTTTCACAGCACAAAAGTATTGGCCCTTGAAGTACGCGTGGCCACCATCCACCGTGCGTGCTTGGTCACAGATGTAGCAGGGGTCCCCAGGCTGGTGCTGTGGCTTTCCCCTGCTACTTTGGAGGACTTTTTTGTCCTTTGCCGCTTTAATTTTGCGCCTGTAGACAGTGCAACGGGTGGGCTTGCTGGTCCCCGCCACTGGCTCTGCTGCCTGAAGCTGTCGAGGAGAGGAGCTGGAGGAGGAGGAGGATGACGAGGAGGATGAGGAGGCTGAGGAGGAGGAGGATGAGGAGGATGTGCAGTCGTAGTCCCCTAAAATATAAAATACAATACAGAACTCTGTTAGTCAAGGTACATAGAAACACATATGTAGTTTTAAAAAGTGTATTTGTAACAAACCTAATGAAGTGACATGTCTGGTTTTTCGCTTTGCTTTTCTGCCTTCCATTCTGTCCAAATAAAATGCTTGAATGAATTGACTGTCTGTTTTTTGCCTTTTTTTTGAAACCCCTCTTGGGGGAGACACACCTACCAGTTCGGCCCTCTCTCAGTCCGGTCAAACCCCCAAGTTCTCGCAGGAGATAAGAGCCCCCCTGTTGTTTTAATCAGGAAGCCAGGAGGTGAGAAGTGAAGGCCCCTCGGCACCCCCTGTTGTTTTACAATGTCCACTTGTAAAAGGCCAATTCTCACCTAGTCTCTAAGTAAGCCTTTGAACCTGACCTGGTTGACCCCTTGACCCTAGTTTCAAGTGAGGAGAGGGAATGATGTATTGTGACTGTAACTTGTGGGGATTTACTGATATCAGGCACCTATTCTAGATACCTAGTCTTCCCTATATTTATTTAATTTCTTAAAGGCAGAAAGAAGCAGGAGAAAGCATTGGTTTAAAAAAAGAAAAGTTTATTTAAACTAAAACAATTAAGACAACTATATACAACTATATAGATATTGGAATTTGCCCATTGTGGGACAAATAAAAAGGTATAACTTATATATGACAACTATATACATAATATTAATTTAACAAACACAACTGACTAACTAAATACACTATATACACAATATTTACAAATCCCTCCCTCCCAAACACACACACACACAAACAAAGTGTTCGCTCAGGGAGGGGGAGCTGCCCCATCACACACACTCACACACACACACACAAAGTGTTCGCTCAGGGAGGGGGAGCTGCCCCATCACACACACTCACACACACACACACACACAAAGTGTTCGCTCAGGGAGGGGGAGCTGCCCCATCACACACTCACACACACACACACACACAAAGTGTTCGCTCAGGGAGGGGGGGCTGCACCATCACGCCCCTTCACCTCTGCCAGCCACTGCTCCACAGTTCTCCCTTTCCCGTCGGCCCGGGAGCAGAAGGTCTCCGTCTTGTAGCGGCTGTGGCCAAACGCCCGCGTCTTTGGTTGGCCACAGTGCCTGCAGTTGAAGTGGGAGACCTTCTTTGCTGGTTTCATATATTCTCCCAGCTCCCGGGCACGACGCTCTTTCTCCTCCTGGAGCTTGCGCCTCCAGGCAGTGTTTCTAGGCACTGGTGGAGCAGTGGCAGCTGTGGCTGTGGAGGGGGTGACACCTGCCTCTGCGCTGGCGGACGGGACGGCGTCTGCGCTGGCACTGGTGGACGGACGGCGTCCGCGCTGACACTGGTGGAGGCTTGTGGGGTGGCTGAGGAGGAGGAGGAGGAGGAGGTGGTGGCAGTTGAGGAGCTGGCGACGATGAGGTCGTATAGCTCCGGGGCCAGCGGCCCTCTGATGGTGGCAGCCAGACCAGAAGCGTCCGCAGGCAGGCGGTGCTGGAGGGGCTGGTCTGGCTGCTCAGGCTGCTGCAGCACAGTCCGTGGGGCAGGCAGGGGCTCCGCTGCAGTCTGGGAAGCGCTGGGCCCCGGGACTGCAATGGCGATGGTGTCCCTCATCATCGCCTTGCTCCTCTTGGTGTGCCTTAAAAAACAGAATGTAACAAATGCACATTAGTAATCATGACATACACACACACACACACACACACACACACACACACACACACACACACACACACACACACACACACACACACACACACACACACAATGCCACTTCAGATCAGATGTGAGAGAAAGGATCAGGTCTTAACATTGCGTCAGGGTCCGCTGATTGACCTCATACAGCTGGATGCGGGTGCCTGCATGAGGGCTGCACAACTATAAACATTCTCTCGAATTGTTTGATAGTCCCTCATGACGGCACTCCAGCGATGAATGCGGACCCCGGCAATCGTCCTCCCCTCACTGCAGTGGAGGATGCTGAGGTCCAGCAGGACAGCCTCCACAAGCCTCGACACATCGGGAGACTGCGCCGCTCCCGCCCCCCTTGCCCAGGACCGCACTACATTGACACACAAAGAGAGAGAGAGAGAGAGAGAGAGAGAGAGAGAGAGAGTGAGTTAGTTAGTGACTGACAGCACAGAACAAGAACCAAACAAAGCTTGGAAATTTATTGTGACTGCTTACCGCTTCACACTATCCACCCCTGGTGTGTGAGCGTGCCGCTGGGTGGTCCTGAATCGGCCCTGGACGAGCCGGTCCTGGTGACGGGGGGGAATGTGACCGCCGCCTTGTCCCAGTCACTCAATTTCAGCCAGAGAGCGGTGACCTCTCTGGCTTGCCTGGGAGTGACGTAGCGGCGGTGGCGCAGTTCCACGAGGGCCTGGGCCAGGGCCACGACGTGCTGGTAGCTGCCTCGACCGTCTGGCCCGATAACGTCCTCCTCCTCAGCCTGCTGCACCTCCATTAGGTCCAAGCGGGCGGGGGGCGGGTGAGGTTTGAGGACTGAAGGAGAGCGCTGTGGTGTTCGAGGAGACGAATCTCCTCTGGCTCCTCTTCCTCCTCCTCCTCCTCCTCCTCCTCCTCCTCGAACCCTTCATCACTGCCCCCCCCCGCTTCCTCCTCATCAGTCCCTGGAGTGTCAGGAGATGTTAAATGACAGACACCTAAGACAGGTGTTAAACGTTACCGTTACCTCAGACAGATTTATGACTTACCTGTGTACTCCCTGGGCACGGTGTAAGTGTCGACCAGCGTGAGCCCAAGAAGCTCTTGGGTCAGCTGGTCGAAGCTGTGCTGCAGCTGGGCACTGTAGCAACGCAGCGCCGACCTCTGTCCTCCCTCAACTGCCGCCCTGCCTCGATTCTCGTTCCACCGCACCAGGCCCTCCAGCAGGTAACCCTAACCCTAACCCTAACCCTAACCCTTTCCCCCTTTCATTTCCCCTCTGAAGAAGTGCCGGCGAGGCACGAAACGTCAGGGGATCCTGCTCTGTCAGCGGAGCCGCTGCCGCTCCTTAAACTTTTTAATTAGTCTCTTTATTATTCGGAACCAGGACCCTCGTTGGTTTTTTAAATTTAAATCATTAAAAGTTACGTTTTAATAGCACCCGGTGTGAACACCTTGCCTACCTGAGCGCTTCATCCTCCTCTCCCGCAACTGTCGGCTTCCTCCTCTGTTGGATTAAAAAGAAATAAGACTTTTTCCACCCAGTCTACTCCACAGAGAACCCGGAAACACGGAACGACATGACGCAGAAACCGCAACAACCGCATGCAGCGAGATGGACGCAGGTGGGTCACACACACACGGGTGCACACAGGGCGGAGGGCAGCGGACCCCGACACGAGCGGGGTCGGGGGGGAGCAGGCAGACCCGCGGCTGCAACTTACAGGACCCCTCCCTCTCTCTCTTTTTTCTTTTTCTCCCCACACACAGAGCGGACCGGAAAGCAGACACAGCAGCACACACGGCACAAACAACACCGCACATACGAACACACACACACCAATTAAACAGGCACTGGACACATCCACCCGTTTTGCAGCTAAACATCACTTAAAACTTATACAAGCCACACATCATCACAACAACATACAGCAGGCTTTTGAGGAGGGCGAAATTCCTAAAGGGATGTTACGCAAAACACTCCAACTGGCCAGCTTCATAAAACCATCCTCTCCATCACAAAACACAACAGACACACTCAAAGAAAACACACTCACTTGGTTATGGCAAAACATGCACATTTTATTAGCACATTACAAAGACATAATCACACATCTCCTTAACACCCCTGGCAACGAGTTGGCGTTTACAGTAGCCACACAATGGGCTCTTAGACGCTACGGCAACAGAATCGATCCAGACACAATTACATTTGCACATGATCTGCTCTTCACCACAGCCACTCTTTCTAACCCTTCCTCCCCCCTGAAATATTGTGATTCAGATGAGGATTTTTCTTTTTCCCTCCCTCCTCACCTGCCTAACACGGAGCCCTCTTTTCCTCAGCCTAACCACATCTCTCCACAGCCTCTGGACAACACCCCAGTCCCAGACTACCACTCACCTCCTACTTCCCCCCACAGGCGCTGCCCCCAGAGGACGGTGAATGCCATGGCTCCCGAGGACTGCTGTCAGCCTGGAGTAACAAACATAATTACTCAAAAAAACAATAATGACACACAGGGCTCCCAGTCCCGCAGTAGCACCCCAACACCTACCTGCGTTCATGCAGAGTCTGGCCTGGGGTCAGTATTAAACGGCACCTTCCATCTCCCGGCGCCCGCGCCCAGATCACATCAGGGTGGGGAGAGCGCACCCACTGAGGCAGAGGCGGCTCCCCGGTGTAACACAGAATCTGTGAGGAAAAATGAAATGATGAGTAATTTAGGTCAAAAAGTCAACATGACAGACTACTATTCCAACTCTGATCTTTCCTCACCCATTCCAAAAATACACCTGCCGGGGAGACGTACCGAGCCGAGGGGCTCTCCCCACCGGGGCGCGGGCGCATGCGCAGACACAGCCTCTGACCCCACTTACCATCAGGCCAGAGACAACCGCAAGCTGCGGGACTGGGAATTCAAAATTAATAAACCAATTGCCATACTGGGGGATTCAAACATACACAGAATCCCCAAATTTAACCACCCTTTTGTCCAGGCTGACAGCTACCCGGGAGCCTCCTTCTATCATTTCTGGAAGATTCTGGAAAAAACACCAATTAACAGAAACCCAAAAGTGCTGATCCTCTCGGTGGGCCTAAATAACAGGGCTCAGGATCCCCACAACACCTCTGTGAAACAGCTCAGAACTGTGGTCAACAAGGCTTGCTCGGCCTTCCCTAATGCTTCCATAATCGTTCCTATTATCAACCATTCACCACATCTACCAGCAATAGAACAGCACAATCTGGCAATAATCAATAATCACATAATAAAACACTATACACATTTCTCAGCTTTCCCGGACCAGGATTTCATAACACAAACTGACAACATACAGTGGACTACAGAGACAGCCAGTGCTATCTTCTCCCACTGGCTAGGGGAGCTGGACAACTTAATTTCAGACCTACATGACACATAGATTAATTACAGCACATCACACACAAGATAATTCACAACACATTACATCATAGTTATTCAACATGTTATTACAACCTTATACATAACTCATACGGCACCATGGACTTTTACCAATTTCAAATGTATCACTTACCTCTTAAATTCACATTGGGAAGGCCGAGCTTGACGTGTTGTATCATCATCATCATCATCATCATCATCATCCCTACTCATTTTCATTACCATCTCCTCACCTCATTATTCACCTGAACCTGTATGCAGGATAGAGAGCGGAGGGAACTCGGCCCGTTACCATCTCCGGACCAACACATCAGACTTGGAAAATTAAGAGTGACACTATTCAATAATTCAACTCACTATAATTTTATTTAAACAATACCAATAAAAAATCATGAATGTCACAATCTCCACTTTCTCTGTCTGGATTTGTCCTTTTTACATTCTGTCCCATATGCATATTGACTCTCTCACACCACTAATTTGTAATAACCAACTTACCTTGTGTTCTGATTGTCATTTCTCATATGCATAATACTTCCTGAGCTGCACCTTTGACAGTGTAAACACACCTGGAATTAGCACGTTGCATCACGATTTAATTTTACACAATTTATTTCGTTGATGTGTTGCCTCCTGTGTTTCACCAGTTTTTATTTTATTTTCTTTCTGAAATTATTTCTTAAAAAATATATTTTATTTCCAGGGAGGCGGGGTCTGCACGACGGACCGCACGCCCCCAGGCCAGTGCACCAGAGCCCTGATTGGGTTGCTAACTTCACTCACTTCGAACCTAACCCTAACCCTAACCCCTAACCCTAACCCTAACCCCTAACCCCTAACCCTAACCCTAACCCTAACCCTAACCCCTAACCCTAACCCTAACCCTACCCCTAACCCCCCTAACCCTAACCCTAACCCTAACCCTAACCCTAACCTAACCCTAACCCCTAACCCAACCCTAACCCTAACCCTAACCCTAACCCTAACCCTGTGGGTGGGGATTTTTATTAATAGAAAAGTTTTTTTAAAAAGGGGGGGGGGTTGGGGGGGGGGGGGGCAAAAGTGGGGGGGGGGGGGATGGCCAGCTCTCCGTCTCCATCTTCTCCAAAGAGGTTTTATAAGCTCACTATTAGAGTTATATTAGACCGGTTCGCCTTTGTTATATGAAGTATAAATATGTAGGTCCTATTTTTCATGTTCTGTTCTCTCTCTTGTATGTCAGGTGGCGTTCGCTCGCGACGTTTCGTCCGCTTCATGGGACTTCTTCAGGCTGCCATGACATACAGGTGGTTTTCTTGTTATTTTAGAGGTAAGTATCCCCTTAAAGTGCGGTAAGTATTCCTTTTGGTTGAGGTAAGTATCCCCTTTAGTTGAGGTAAGTAATCCTTTTAGTTGAGGTAAGTATTTAATTTAGTTCCTTCTAGTTGAGGTAAGTATTTCTTTTATTTGAGGTAAGTGTTTAATTTTGTTGAGGTAAGTATCCCCTAACAATGAGCCCCTCTGGGGAGATGTGGCTCCCTCAGAGGGCCGTGCCAAACTGAATTCAAAATGTCCGCTGTTCCCTTTTATGCTCTCAGCCCCTCCCTTTCTGAAAGTTCGTGTTCCTCCTCCATTGTAGTGATTTTCTCTAACTGTTATTTCCCCTGTCTTTTTCAAATAAAATCCTTTGTTTCTGGCTCCAATTCTTTGCCTTTAACTTATATATAGTGTTCATATGTATGATTAACACTTTATTCACTGGGTATGTGTGCCTCCCTTTAATGGCTACACTTCATCCATGGTATTTAAATGCCTACTTTATTTAGTGGCTTCATCCATTATATGAGCTTGGAATGTCCTTCACTGAGGTTTAAAGATAAATTAAGGCCAGTATTTTGGAGCCAGGGTGGGGACTAGATTTGAATAGGGCCTAGGATTTGGGGTTAGGGCCTCAAAGGGGGCTTAGTTTGGGTCCAATTGGTTAGGGTTAGTTCAGAAATATATGGGCTGGGGTTAGATGGGATTTAGACTGGGTTAGCTTATTATAGCTTAGCATGGGTAGGAGCACTGACCATTGATCCACAGGAGGCCCTGGCTGGTTAGGTTTGGGTTGGGGTGGGGGTCTCCACCTAAGTGGAGGCCCCCAAAGTGCACTCTCCACCCTGTGGATGGCCAGCTCTCCGTCTCCATCTTCTCCAAAGAGGTTTTATAAGCTCACTATTAGAGTTATATTAGACCGGTTCGCCTTTGTTATATGAAGTATAAATATGTAGGTCCTATTTTTCATGTTCTGTTCTCTCTCTTGTATGTCAGGTGGCGTTCGCTCGCGACGTTTCGTCCGCTTCTTGGGACTTCTTCAGGCTGCCATGACATACAGGTGGTTTTCTTGTGATTTTAGAGGTAAGTATCCCCTTAAAGTGAGGTAAGTATTCCTTTTAGTGGAGGTGAGTATCCCTTTAAGTTGAGGTAAGTAATCCTTTTGGTTGGGTAAGTATTTATTTTAGTTCCTTTTAGTTGGGGTAAGTATTTCATTTATTTATTTGAGGTAAGTATTTAGTTTAGTTGAGGTAAGTATCCCCTAACTATGAGCCCCTCTGGGGACATGTGGCTCCCTCAGAGGGCCGTGCCAAACTGAATTCAAAATGTCAGTTGCTCCCTTTTAAACTCTGAGCCCCTCCCTTTCTGAAAATCCGTGTTACTCCTCCATTGTAGTGTGTTTGTCTAACCGTTATTTCCCATGTCTTTTTTCAATTAAAATTCTTTGTTTCTGGCTCCAATTCTTTGCGTTTAATTTATCTAGTGTTCATATCTATGATTAACACTTTATCCGCTGGGTATGTGTGCCTCCCTTTAATGGCTACACTTCATCCATGGTATTTAAATGCCTACTTTAGTTAGTGGCTTCATCCATTATATGGGCTTAGAATGTCCTTCACTGAGGGTTAGAGATAAATTAAGGCCAGTATTTTGGAGCCAGGGTGGGGACTAAAACTGAATCAGGCCTGGGATTTAGGGTTAGGGCCTCAAAGAGGGCTTAGTTTGGGTCCAATTGGTTAGGGTTAGTTCAGAAATATATGGGCTGGGGTTAGATGGGATTTGGACTGGGTTAGCTTAGGGTTATAGCTTAGCATGGGTAGGAGCACTGACCATTGATCCACAGGAGGCCCTGGCTGGTTAGGGTTTGGGTTGGGGTGGGGGTCTCCACCTAGGTGGAGGCCCCCAAAGTGCACTCGCCACCCTGTGGATGGCCAGCTCTCCGTCTCCATCTTCTCCTAAGAGGTTTTATAAGTCTCACTATTAGAGTTATATTTAGACCGGTTCGCCTTTGTTATATGAAGTATAAATATGTAGGTCCTTATTTTTCATTGTTCCACTGTTCTCTCTCTTGTATGTCAGGTGGCGTTCGCTCGCGACGTTTCGTCCGCTTCTTGGGACTTCTTCAGGCTGCCATGACATACAGGTTGGTTTTTCTTGTGATTTTCGGTAGAGGTAAGTATCCCCTTAAAGTGAGGTAAGTATTCCTTTTAGTGGAGGTGGTATCCCTTATTGTTTTGTAAGTATTTATTTAGTTCCTTTTAGTTGGGGTAAGTATTTCATTTATTTATTTGAGGTAAGTATTTAGTTTAGTTGAGGTAAGTATCCCCTAACAATGAGCCCCTCTGGGGACATGTGGCTCCCTCAGAGGGCCGTGCCAAACTGAATTCAAAATGTCCGCTGCTCCCTTTTATGCTCTGAGCCCCTCCCTTTCTGAAAATTCGTGTTACTCCTCCATTGTAGTGTGTTTCTCTAACCGTTATTTCCCATGTCTTTTTCAAATAAAATCCTTTGTTTCTGGCTCCAATTCTTATGCCTTTAATTTATATAGTGTTCATATCTATGATTAACACTTGATCCACTGGGTATGTGTGCCTCCCTTTAATGGCTACACTTCATCCATTGTATTTAAATGCCTACTTTAGTTAGTGGCTTCATCCATTATATGGGCTTAGAATGTCCTTCACTGAGGGTTAGAGATAAATTAAGGCCAGTATTTTGGAGCCAGGGTGGGGATCTGAAACTGAATCAGGCCTGGGATTTAGGGTTAGGGCCTCAAAGGGGGCTTAGTTTGGGTCCAATTGGTTAGGGTTAGTTCAGAAATATATGGGCTGGGGTTAGATGGGATTATAGACTGGGTTAGCTTATAATAGCTTAGCATGGGT